CAACTTTACTGCCTCAATCTATGGCTGTTGCAGTTAGTGAGTTTCGCTGTCAGTTTTTTATACTCAGGCTCTGTAGACTGAACTACTAACCTTAGCAGAGCTCTCTGCTTCGCAATGGGTAGTACACTTTCTGTGGAATAGAATAATAAGTCCTAATACCCAATCCCTCTGGTTAAGATAATATAAGATAGAAGTAAAACGCGTACGGTTGAGCTTGTAAAGGCGACCCTCTACATTAACGACATCGCTCTGCAGCGTGTAGTAAGAACACCGGACAAGGAGGTATGATGACTGATCGCACTCATCTGGATTGCAGAATGTGACGGCAAAAGATACATGGAAGGAGTGTTTTGACAGCTCGCCTATGCGTGCAACTTTTGTCGTCACATTCGTTTTCTGAGGAGTGGTATAGCTGGTGGCGGGTGAATCGACCTCTACAAAGGCATGGATGTAGGTGTGCCATAAGTGAAATGTAATAGGTGATATCCTCTTTGTTCAACGGTGCTCCAGTACGGGGTAGAAGTATCGGAAGAAGAGAGACCCTTCAATGCCGGACGGTGAGTGTTGCGTAGAGCGGTCTTTTCTCATACTCTCCATTCAGCTCCATCTTCAAAATATTAGGTTGTCGGAAAAGTATTTGCGCATTTTGGTTTCCATGTTGTGGAATCTTTGGGGATTGCTCTAGAGCCTTCACTGTGGAATATGTGTAAGTGCAGGTCAATGCGCACTCCACACCGTATCTGCCGTGGCATTTCGCAACGGTTATGGCTGCAAGAATCGCTCTCGACTCGAAGCTAGTCAGACTATCTTTTCTTCATAAGTTCAGAAAAAAACGTTAATCCAAGTTGAGCGACAGGGGGAATATGCGATGCGATAGGACCATTCATTGTTTCTAATAGCACATCAAGTAGTTGGTACAAGAAGTTCAAAAATGGCCACTTTGACTGGACCGAAGAACCACTATCTAGGAGACTAGCTGAGCTCGATGATGACTATCTCCTGAAGCTGGTTTAAGAGGATTCCAGGTT